AAAATCCGAAATTCCGAAAAATCCGATAATAAACAAAAATGGAATTTGAAATAGGTTGTAACCACAATGAAACGCATTACCATACAACTTACTTCTTTAGTTAAAAAGAGTTTTCAAACATCGCTGAAGAATTAGTATACAAGATGCAATATAATAATACATAACAGTCTAAATAATAGTAAAAAATAGGCACTTCTAGACTTCAATTTTATATTTTTTAACGCAGTAAATATTGTGAAGATTGAGAACTAGATGACGTTTTAATTTGATGGGCCCCAGGGGATTCAACTAATCGATAATAATTATGCAGAATAATTGTTTTATCGCGTGAAGAATCCACATAGTTTTTATTGTATTTTTGATTCCCTGGGCTACCCGTTTGGATATTTTTAAAGTCCGTTTTGCCATTTGCGTCTAGTGAACGTTCCTTGAGTTTTGCGTGTAAATACGCCATTGGAAATTGCATTAGTCTTGCTTCAAGAACCCGGCAACGAATTTTGAATGTTTGTTGCAATAAGCGTAAACCAGTGTGGTAACAAGTCACAGACTCCGGCTGTCATTCATTCGAAAATAAGTCAGAGTAATTTTATTGTTAAAACAATAAATTAAAGACTAGAGATTACTAGAGAAAAGAAGTATTTTTGCTCTTAAAAATACAAAGTCTTTCCCTTAATAGTAATAGTAATAGTAATAGTAATAGTAATAGTAATAATAATAACAATAACAATATTATTATTATAAGATAACGTGGAGGGTGTTTTCTAAACAAATTTTGCGAAGGGAAAATTCAGACATGGTTCATCATCAGGGAAAAATATTGATTGCTCTGGCGATATTGAGTTCTGCTGAATGTGTTGGAACTCCTCCGCCAATCTTGTACAGAGGACGCTTTTTGTTGATACCCACCCTGCCAAAAACCGACGAAAGGCTTGAAATGAATCAAAATGGACCGCGTCCTTCAGAAGAAAACATTCGTTTTTCAGTGACAGTCCTCCCTTGCAGATTAATGGAGAAATACCCGATACCAAGAACACAAATAATGCAGGTACGGTAATTTTTGTTTTCTAAGATTATAATCGTCGAATCTCTTATATTCACATCTTCTCAAAACTTCACATTAAAAAAAGTTGTTTCAGTTTCATGTACCAACAAATATCAGCCCTAATTCATGAAAAATCATTTAAACGGATTAATCGTTAGTGTATTTTTTGGCAAACGGACGGGTAGACGTTTTGTAGTATACCAGTTTTTCGGTAACAAGTATCCTTAAAACGTGGGTTGCGACTACATAACGGAGTAGAGGAAGTTGCTTTTTTCATATGGAAACAAATATCCGCTTTTACGGTTTCCAATACTCGCAGTAGGAGTTTTGCTGCTAAAAAATTACCTTTTCCGCTTTGGCAGTAATTTTTTTCTGGCTAGTTTCCAATTCTCTTCGGCTCTTGCGTCACCTTTCGCTTTTCTGTGGTGTGGGGAAGAGCTCTTTCACCCAGCCCGAACATCAAATGGACGCATATCCGTCTTATTCATTTACATATTTGCCCATCTCTGGCCCCACATCAATTCTTGTAACATTGTTCTGAATATAGAAATCCAGTTCTTTCATTACATTCACATTGTCTTATGGGCAAAGTGATTAGCAAGAATTATGGAACAGATTTACCACAAATCTGAAATGCCTCACCCATAACTAAAACATTAACCCTAGATACAAAGATGTCATCTGTGAGACGATTGTAGAGCCGAAAACTTCCCGCACCCCTTTCCCTCACTCCCCCTTTGTGAAACACTAGACACCTTCACTGTGTGACTAGCCATTGAAATACACGTTACCTTGTGGGTGTACTTAGATCTAGTGTATGCCATTTCCCGTTTTTTCAATTTATTTATTTATTTGATTGTTATGTACATATATCAGTTTTTAAAAATTTTAAATATGTATTGATGCCGTATTAAATAAAACTTAACCTAACTTAACACTACAACAGAGGTTGAGGAAACCATAATGGCACCTCATAGGATCTATTCTACATCAGAAAACAATTTACAAAATATGTGGTAGGGATATTTATATTTGATGCGAGTAGGATGGATGGGTTTTTTGCGAAGTTTGAATGAGGAAAAATTTTGAATATGGTGAATATTAGATAAGAAGTTGTAGGATGAATAGGTGATGTGGTGCATGACGGGATCGAGGTTGAATTCATTGTGTAATTGGTGATTAGATATGAACCAGGATGCTTTAGTGATTGTGCGGAGGAATTGGTTCTATACTATTTGAATTTTGTTGATTGTTTTTGCAGCATTGATCCATACTGGGTAGGCGTATAGAAGAGTCAGTCTGATTATTGTTCTGTATAACGCTACTGCAGTTTCGTATGGAAGTTATTATTCCCATTTATTAGAGTTTTCAATTGATGCAGTTAGTTTTTAGTTGGTATTATTTTTATGTCTCTGTGTTGTTTCCAGTTCATTTTGGTCCCTGTGTGCAGTTCAAGATAGTTAATGGGCCTGTTTGGGTGGTACCATGGGATGGGCTCATTATTTAATGTTGATGTAGTTGGTGAAGTGTATGGCCTTAAAGGGAACATTTTGGCTGCGGTTTTTCAATGTTTTATTTGTAATTTGGATGACCAACTGCCTATTTGGTTCAGATATAATTATATGTTGTTTTAATGTTGATTAGAGTGGTTGGAAGGGAAGATAAATGTGCCATCTGTAAACTGTGCTGTTTTTGCTGTTTCATCTATGAGTATGTCTGCTAAATAGATATTAAACAGTGTGAGTGATAGTGATGATCTTTGTGATAATTTTGCTTCGATTATCCTGGAATTTGAGTGATAGTTGTTGATTTTTACTGCAAAGGTTCTGTTAGATAAGTCGTTTTGGATTACTGAAGTAATGTAGTGTCGAGTGCCAATTTTCTTTAATTTATATATTAGTGCCTGGTGTCAGACTCTATCAAATGCCTATGTTACGTCGTGTGATATGAGTATTGAGTGATGTTTTATATGAAATGCTGTGATGAGATGTTCTGTGATTCTGACGATTTGGTGTTGGGTGGACATATGTTCAGTGAATGGAAATTGCTCTCTTGGGATTTCTTTTGTTATTTGTAGGTGCTTTTTAAATCGTTGGAGTATTATTTTTTCAAAGATTTTAGACAGAGATGGTAGAAGGTTTATTGGGCAATAGCTGTCGGTGTTTGCTGAATTTTTATTTGGTTTCGGAACCGGAAGAATAATGGAAGGTTTCCAAGTCGATACGAAAAACCTTTTTCCAGATACTCCAACACGCGTCGTCCAATAGATTACGTCTTTGTAATTATGTCAGATTTTACGCGCTCTATTGCCTATTATTGTGGGATAATTAATACGAAAAGGAACAAATAATACCCGTTGTAGCATTTAAGGTTTGTCATTTAGGTTTGTCATTTAGCAATGACAAAGGGTGACGGCGATCTTAAGAAAGGTAGCATGACGAGGTACTATTTGCGGACCCTTCTCAAAAGCCATGTGTGAACAGCACCAAGCACGTGTGCGCTATGAGAGCCAAGTTACTTACGGGCCTTAATAAAAACCTTAAAAATGTATTTTGAAACTCCATGTCACACGTTTTCAATCTATTAAATTTAGTTTTTCAATGTAAAAATTAGTTTTTCTTTATTTTTACAATAGTCTGTCAGACAACGTCTTTGTAATAACGTTTGAAACAGGTCATCATTAGAACCTAGGATTAATGTCTAACAACATCCACATACAACACATGAACATTAATTAATGAATTCTCGGCTGTCCGTGATTAGTTTTATTTCGTCGAAAAACAGTAAATGTATGTGACGTATGGGAGGGGGGAGATAATCTGTGCTCATTTTCGTGAGTTCCAGAATCCCTTCCCATCATTTTAACGATAAATAGTTGAAAGGGGATTCGTGCCGCGGAAGCTTACGTACACATGAACATTACTTTACCACGCTTTGCCAGATGACATTAAAAGTAAAATCTTTTCTGCTGCATAACTGTTTTTATACAATTAGACACTATACTGATTATCAAAAAGAAAATATAATGTTTATTTTAACAAAACAATGATATATAATGAATTAGTTTACATTGTATTATATAATTTTTTTAAAAGACTTAATATGATTGTAAAAAATAATGTACTTCAGCTTCCGTGTCAATGACCCCCGTCTCGTTCAGGTTTTTGTCTAGTTATTTGATACATTGAGCAAATGTTGATATGGTCCCTTGTTTTGCTTCTCAACGTATATGTAGCTTCACTATGCACACGTTTTGTTGAACTCTTCTTTTGCTTGTAGTAGTAGGAATAGAAGTAAGGGCGAGTAACTATTTTGTTAGCAATGCAGAAAATGAAATTTTGAGTTCGTTTACTGTTGCAAATAAGTTTTCTATAACTAGGGAACAAAAATGTCAATTTTTTCAAATGTCGCTAGTCTCGTTTTTTTAAAATTTGTATTTCTATTTATTTATCATTTACTTTTACTCATCTTTCAACTATTTATCGTTAAAATGATGGGAAGGGATTCTGGAACTCACGAAAATGAGCACAGATTATCTCCCCCCTCCCATACGTCACATACATTTACTGTTTTTCGACGAAATAAAACTAAATAATCCTAACATACATTTCGCATGAACAGCCATAATGTCCACGTGCTTTGTATTATCTGCACCAAGGCCTTGTCTTATGAAGTCGAATCACCTAAACATACTAATTGTAAACATGTCTCGGCGATGCAACATAATATATTGATATAACTAATAGTATAACTAATATTGATCTTTTAATATATACGTGGTTTTTAAGTGCTTTGCACTATTGAGTCTCTGAATTCGAAGGATTTTGGAATTCTTTTTGGATTAACAAAGCAAATTAAGTAATTGTCCCATTACATTCTAGCAACAGTGCACTGAATAGTCATCAATCAAATCAAACAATCAAAATTTTTACAAATGCAATAATGATTGAAAACGCAGATACTGATCAGTCGCTTTAAGAGCTCCACCTGCCTGGACGTACCGCATCACCTGTACGAGACCTACTTGGCCAACGGGTCCCTGGATGTGAGCATGGCCGCCCAATGGCGCAGGTCTAGCAGCCCCACGGACTACCTCTACCCGCACAGGCGCAGCGACATGTGCCTCGTGGTGAAGCGGCGAAGAAGTCGCGTTCAGCAGGGCATCCTGCAGGCCTTCAGCTCCTACTCCTGGATGGCTACAGGAGTTGGGCTCGCCGCCTTCGCAGGCGCACTTTGGCTCATTGGCCGCAGGTACGCTACCTATCCTCCTCCTCTGAATCACAACCACTCCTACAAAACCTCCATTCTAAATGCTTTGTCGAAAGATTCACTTCTTATTTAATGGGTTTGTTTCATTAGTGATTTCGGGCTCGTCAAAAGCTGGCTCTAGTCCCGTAAATCCAATTATACACGCATGTGAAGATCATTAACTAAAGTTAACATAAAATTAATTACTGACTACTTGCTGAAGGAATAATGGGACACATTTTATAACGCTGTTGAAACAAATGAAAAATATAATCTACTTTTCTCAAAACTTTCATTTTACTTTAACACAAGCTTTCCTCGCAAAAAGAAAAAGTTAAATATTTCACGAACAAGTAATACTTGGATCATCCAAGGAACTAAAACATCGTGTAAAAGCAAACGTATGTTTTACTTTTCAAATATTGCTTATCTCTCGTTTTTAAAATAACTAAACATATTGTTTTTTACTAAACAAATCTAAATCTATAAATCTAAATTTAGGGCACGCTTTTATAGCGAGAAGTGAAAGTGATCTTGCCCTGCTGGCTGGCGAGTTCAAAGGCTTACAAGCTTTCCTCAACCAGGCATCTCTCACCAGAATGGCACCGTCTTAGCCGGGACAAGCTCTCAGCTCCCGAATGGTTTCCTGTCATACGTGGTTGTGTAGTGCATGTGAGAGTGAGTGTTAGTACGCGATGACGATAGGACAAGGAAGGCGCCTTTCTTGGTAGTTTGGTTAAGGTACTACGACATTCGCCTGGTGTTGATCGGAGAAATTATGGAAAACTACCGACCAGAGCAGACAGACGTAGGAACTCTCCTCCATACGGCTGTTAAATTTGTCCTAGCTCTCTAGTCAAAATCCTGCCACCCAGTCTCAAACCCTCCAGTATCGGTTGCGTATAAGCGCAGTTCTCTAGCCACATGCTGTGATACGTTATGTGCTCTGAAGCAATCAGCTTGCAAGGATTTGTTTTCTTACAGAAAGAGTTTACCCTTGCCACTCATTTGACTCACAAGAGGTAGCAGAGGCGAGATGGCTCGGCTTTGGTGAAAGTTATGAACATGATATCAAAACGTGTCTTAGTCTTTCGGGACGTTAAATATTTAGAGATTTAATTTTTCTGTGATGTAAGTGGTGCCATGTGAGTATAAATGTGTTGCAACAATGCTTTGAATGACAAAGTCATTTATGGTACTGTGGGACCTTTTGTTGGAGACATTGCAGTGTTTTCAGTTGATTTTCTGAGCCATCTTTGACGGTATTCTTGTTAGAATGTCAACAAATTCTACCCTTCTAGAATAACTCTAACGAGACCGTAGGTACCCGTAGCCGGAGTCAGTGACTATTGCCCTGGAGACGAAGCACCCAGCCTTCTTCAGTAAGAGTTGCATCTTGCCCTGAGAAAGGTTGCAGAATGGTGACAGAACCTTTGGCATCTATGGTGTCTATGACGAGGCGTCTCCCATACAAGAAAATGGTCGCTAAAATAACATCGTTTTTCCTGATATTTTGAGAGGTTCATCTCCTTTGCACTACGATGTGTGTCTCATTTTTTCTATTCATTCTTCCATCACCCACACATCCCGATTTTCAGGAACAAAATTACGGGTACCTTCTCGCCGCTTGCACCAATCTTAAACAATTTTGAAACACCACTAATAGCCTCGAATCTGATAAGTATTTGAATGTATGGGTTGAAACAGCCACAAAGGCTATTTTTAAGCCAGAAAATTCGAGATCCTATGGTTGAGGCGCTTCTAATTTTTCCCCTCCCTGCATCAGAGTTCAGGGAAGCATATTGCATGCTAGACTTGACCAGTTAAAATGTTATTTGGTGGAAGTATAAACACCTGTATAGCAGTTAATTGAAATCGTTCTGGGGATAAACGTTTCTTATGTCTATAGGTCTCTTTCTTATCATGACTTCAATTGCCATTGTTACATGTAATGATATGATACATATGTATTTTGCGCAATTTTCAATTCCTGATCGAATGGCATCTCTCTTCCAGGAACGTGCTGATCGAGGTTTTAGACGCCTTCATCCACGGGGCCTTTGTGATCCGTGAGAGGGACCGCCGAGGCAACTGCCTGTTCGTGCTCCTCAGCGCCTTCGGGCTGGTGATGGTGAGCGCTTTCACCGCCCGTTTCACGGGCTTCCTGGTTGTCCTTGAGAAGCCGCAGCAGATGCAGACGTTGGAGGAGGTCGCCCACCAGGTCACCAAGGTTTATGGGGCCGCCACGCTGCCGTCTTTCTTCAAGGGCGTCGAGAAGACCGACGTGGTTTGGAAACTACTAGCTAAGTAAAGCGGATTTTGTTTATTGGCCTCTGTTCACTTAATCCTAAAGATGTCAACCAAATAATTACATAAAAGCAGAAAACGTTATTAGAAAAACTGAAATATTTCACTTCCGTCTCAACTAACATTGTGATTTCCATTATTCGAAAAAAATTGAAATAGTAGTGCCACAACAGCGATTATTTCGTAAAATTAAAAGTTCTAATTAGTTAACTAGCAAATTTCGTAAAATTAAAAGTTCAAATACTCTGACATCCTCCATTTTAATAAGTATACTTAGCAGTATCCGCTAAAAGAAATTATAGAGAAAACGTGGCACCACTTTTGAGAAAATTTATTTTTAAAATTGCCTTTTACTCGAAAAAGTATGCATCTACTACTTCTATTTAGAAGACAAATATTGGAAAGCAGATTTCATTATGATATTCAAGTTTTGATATTTTCGAAAATGCGGAAAGCTCAACAATAATCCGACTGGCGCGTTTTTAAACGCGGACTTTTTTAACGCTCCTTTTTTACACAGCCAAAGAAATTACAATTGAACATGAACTCCAAACTATATTTCCAACAATCACTTTTTTCTCCACGCCGAGTTTCGAATTCAAGCCGCGACAGGACGCCAGGCACGATCACCACCAACCACAAAGCTGAAATCAACCTTTTTGACCCTTGAAAAAGGTTGATAATTTTTATTTGAAATTTACTAAAATCCATTGTTATTTACATTATTTACGATCTAGTTTACAGATTAAAGATTATTATGGAAAAAACTATCATCAATGTTGTAGAATTACAATATTGTTTTTGTTTCCAAATTTCGAAAACACAAACGAGTTCCCTGACAACGGATTGCCAATTTGTAATCGCTATTTGCTCTATTCCAAGAAAAAAATAATGAAACAAATTGTTGGCATTGAATTATTCGAGACAAGTGGGAGAATGCCAATTGTGAAGTTGTCTGAACGGTTTATAACCAAGCTTTGATCAGAGATATGATTTTCTGTCAACAATGTTTTCGGTATTAAGGATATATAAAACGCAAATTCTGACTACACAACGTGTTAGAGGAATGTTTTTACACATAAGAACAAAATAAACCCCCATTTTGAAAAGAAGGGTAAAACAATGCGAGTTTTTCTGTCAACAATTCGCCGACGAAAAAGCAAAAAATATTCGAGTTCAAATATATTTCTTCACTGCTGTCTGAGGGGGAGGTGCCAGCAAATCCGTTCTCTTTGAAAATCATTCTCTGAATACGTTTTGCACGTTCTTTCTCTTACCACCCTGCCATCGTGAACGCGTTTTATTCATTGGCGGATCTTAAACGTATATTTATCAGCAAGCACACCGCGTGTACAAATTAAACAAGATTGCAGCGCCTTTGACTTTCAGAACTGTCAGACCCGTCGTCTGCTCTCGGATCTCACACTCGTAAAGGCCTACAACATAGAAAAAATTATAGTTCATGAGACTGTATGTTTGCAGGTTGGAGTTGAAGAGAATTCCTATCAAAGAGGTGGTGCGAGAATTTGTTGAGGATTGGCCTGGCCCGGCGATAATACATTCCATAGATTCTGGGAAACCGTTGATATGGAACGGTCCAATTCTTTGGGACGCGGAGAAGGGGGAATCATTCGCGTACCCCGTTCCTCAGTGCCTCCTTTCGCCGGCCTACATCTCTTACCCCACAAGGCCAAACTGGCCTCATCGGACCAAGTTCGACGCACTGCTGGGAACGTTGGCGCAGGCAGGCATCATTACTAAGTTGGACAGGTACGCGACGCAATAGGGATTTCACGATCCCACCTATTTCCTCTCACTGTCACAGCATCGCGTCGTCCCTCTGTGGCTGATTGCTTTGCAAAATTGAATTGTAGATAGCTCTTCACGTACTCGCTCTCACCCTTCTCTCTAACCACTCTTCGCCTCACTATCACTTCAACATTCTGCTGCTGATCGCTTTGCAGAATGGAATTGCAGACATGCTTTTCAAGTATTCGTTCTCACTTCTCTTTAAGCATTCTTCCCAATAGCGGCCTCACTATCACTTCAACATTCTGCTTCTGATCGCTTTGCAGAATAGAATTGCAGACATGCTTTTCAAGTATTCGTCTCACTTCTCTCCAACCACTCTTTCAACCAGAGGTCTCACGATCGCTTCAACTTTCTGCTGGTGATCGCTTTGCAAAATGGAATTGCATACTTCCTCTTCAATTACTTGCTCTCACTTCTCTCCAACCACTCTTTCAACAAGAGGTCTCACCATCGCTTCAACGCACTGGTAATACTGATTGACTTGCAGAAAAGATACATGCGAAAGCCCTTCAGGTATAATCTTTTATCTAGCTTATATATCCCCTTTGCCAGGCAGCGGCTCAAAGGCTTCAACACATGGAAGCTGATGGCCCTACAGAAAGGAATTGTGCACACGTTATCGCTAACACCTACCTTTAACCTCTCTTTACTATTCTGCTTCACTATCGCTACAAAGCACTAAAGCTTTCTATATCGGAATCGTAGGCAAATTCAATTACCTTCTTACAAAGGTTGCTCCGCTTCCATTACTGTACCATACACTCCTCACATCGGTCCTCTGTCTCTGCTATATTGCATTGCTGCTAAACACCTTTGAAGCGGACAACGAGCAGAAGATCTATAAGTACTCGCTTAAGCACGCTTCTTTACTCTCTGTGTACTTCTCCTTCTCCTTAATTACCTAACCCTTTGTGTACACTTGCTCACACTGCCTCTGATCGCTTTCTCATCTATTGTGGAGGGCGAGTTTAGGAGAAAGATATTTTCGTAGCATTTTCAGCCTTCTCTTGGTATTCCTTGTGCATTAAAGCGTAAACGCGTGCTGACTCCTTCAATTGTCTTTCCCATAGTGACATGTTAATGATGGATCGAGCTATGGGACTTGTGCACCGGGGGCCTGCTGTGTCCACATCCACCTCCCACGCGCCAACCCCCGAGGAGCCACGCCCCCTTCAGATATCATCCCTGCATGAACCGGCGGTTGTGCTGTGCGTGGGGGCGTTGGCAGCGGCCATGGCCTTCTTCGTGGAGATGGCGCTAGGCATCCGCAATTGGCGGGCCGTGGTGAAGAGGGCGCGACTGTTTTTCTGCCTCCGCCCAGCTGAGCCTCCCCGTTGGGCTGTGCGCGCCTATTGAGATTAAGGCCATGCTGAGCGTGACGTGACCGTGGCCTTCCTCGTGGAGAGGGCGCTGCCTCTCCGCGCTTGCTGGGCCGTGGTACATGGACGCAACTGGTTGGTGGCGCGGCCGTGCAGTGCGCAAGGGCGTTGACGACGGCCGTGGCCTTCCTCGAGGAGAGGGCTCTGCGCATGCGCCCTTGCCGGGCATTTGTGAGAAGTGAGCGACTGTTCCTGTGCCTCCAACCAGCAGACCCTCCCCTTTGAACTGTGCGAACCTATTGAGTCTGCGACCTCTGGGCATGACGGCGGCCGTGGCCTTTCTCATGGAGAGGGCGCTGCCCGTCCGCATAAAAAGATGTTTGCTGAGCCTTGGTGAGGCTGGCACAGCTGGTTGGAAGTGCTTCTGCGCGAGCGTTTTTGCCTGGTCTTGGTGAAAAGGGAGTGTCTATTCCTCCACCTCCGACCAACTGTCTCGAAGGGCTTCGTGCGTTCATTGAACCTGCGCCCTTGCTGTCCGAAGCGGACCTTCGTGATGGAGGCATAGCTGCGCAGGCGCGCTAGCTGCTCCTTTGTGAGACGGACGCAACGAGTGCGTGGTCGTGCCGGAAGTGGAGACACTGGCTGCGCAAGCGACCTTCCTCGTGGAGAGGGCGCTACACAATACTCAATTGCAATTTGATGTGTGTGAGTCGAACGCAATTTTATAATTATTGCGAGGAGTGAGACAAGTGAAAATTTTATGTTGAAATAATTTTATGGTTTCCTACTGTATACCATAAAAAAGTTGTTCGTGTGTACCATACTCTATACCATAATCACCTACTGTGTGGCGTGTGATCTACTGTATACCACAAATGATATTTAACTATGGTCTATCACTTAATTAATCTCCCTCGCACTTATAGTACTATTATTTATTTATCAACTACGTTCATTCTAATTCAGTGATTAAATACTAATTTACAAAGAAAATTAGTAGAGCTAGAAAAGCACTTTTTTCTAACATTATTTGTAACATTTGAGAATTTCGAATAAAGGAAGTGAACGAAAATTTGACAAAATTACTTTTTACATGATCTTTGCTCTATCCTAAAAAACATTCGAAGAAGAAAATTTCAAGATCATTTTATGGAAAAGTATTAATTACTCTTATTTTGAGCAAAAATTCTGAGAAAAGTATTAGATTTTCAATAAAGTGTAAGTCGATGTGTTAGTTTATGTACTTTATTTGTTCATTCATGGTCATTTTAGTTAATTTAATGTGTGAAAACTTCCCGTTCAATAATACTTACTGTAAAAATATACTAAATTCATGTATAGGAGTTTATGCTTTTTCACAGAAAGCACACATTGCCGTTGCATAAGTATCTGCACCATTATAAACTTTCATACTTTGCTTTCTCAAAATTAGAAATTCTCTTCCTAAATTATGCGTGGACAATGCCATTGAATGATTTGTTTTAAAATTACTATTTTAAAATCAATTGTCGTTAAGGAAATTTATCAAACATGTGACAGAATACATTCAGAGATCAAGAAAACTATACATGACAAGAACCAAATAATGCAGTTATTATATATAAGATCAAAAGGTCCGCAGTAAAGTGGTTGTAACATCTCGACAGAATGAAGTATATTCGCATTCCGTAACAACTTATTAACTACAGACCATTGAGAAAAAGAATGTGGCACGCTCAGAGAACGTGGGAGTGATCGATTTGAAATCCAGTATTAAATTACTTAAGACCGCCACTAACCGCTTGTTTTAACTCAGCTGCTACGAAGCGGGGTATTGAATATACCCCCTAGTTATATGTTTTGGTGCTCTTGCATTTAAGATTATTTAATGGTTTGAAATTCATTGTACAGTGAAACGTCGATTATCCTAACTAATTAGAACCATGTATAGTTCTTATATTCGATAATTCGTTTTACCGAACAAAAGATTTTAAGTGTACATGAAATGCTGTATGTATAAAGTTTATTTAAAAGAAAAATTAATATCTTCGTTATCTTCATTTAACCACTTGTTTCTTGTGCATTTCTAGAATTGAACGCCCTCACATGGATCTGATGGTGATAAAACAGCTCGTACTTTTTTCCTTAAAAAAATTAATTTACCGATGTAGATTAATAAACCTGCAGAGTGTTGCGGGTTGCATTTGGCATTACTTTCGTTCTTTAAACTTTTGCGTGCATTTTCCCTTTATTGGTTATTCTGCTATTTGGAGTGGAGATTAATCCAACAAATTAGAAATAATTATAATTGCTCCAGCCGTTCTTGAGTTATTACTGATGTCAGCCTAAATAATCCAACTTTACTTATTTTGATTTCAAATAGGTTTTATATAATTTCTACAACTTGAATTTGTAAACGTTTAAGAAAAGCTCAAATGCAAGAAGTGAACAAAGAAATATAAAATAATACACAAAATCTAACTTACTTAGCATCTAATTGCCTGGAATCGCTTCTCTTATGTTCACGAAGAGCAGGTTATTCGGAGAGGGCGACTTTATTTTGTTTCAAGTAGTCTATAATGGTATCATGGATTTGTCTGTGTTTGAGACCAAACTACTCGAAAATACTCATTTTAAAAAAAATTCAAAATGAACTTATTTGAAGAACTCTTTTTGATAAGCAAACCCCATTAACAAAAATGTACCTTTACAATTTCAGTTGTATGAAGAAGAGGAAAAACCTTGAATATTTCAAATTTTCGAAAAATTAGGCGAATTTAAAGAACTATATCATTTTCTTAAGCGTATCGTATCCTATATAAGGTCCAAATTTGATCCAAAAAATGTGTTTTAAAAAAATGATTTACAGAAAATAAAAATTGCCTATGTTTGACACAAAATTTGGCACAAAATGCTAATATATTCGAAAAATGGAGCATGACTTTATTTTTATTCATGAACACATTTCAAGAAAAAAGTTCGGTAAAATAGATCAGGGTATATCAATTTTGGAGAGAAAATCGGCTAAACGGTTTAGGTGGTCGAGTTGACCGCAGGAGGACAGACAGCTGTTAGGTTAGTTGATACTGATTCCAAATATTAAGGTCATTACTTCCGTAAGTGTTGAGCACTTTTTGCTCAGGAAGTGGAGGAGAAAGTTCTGCCCTGGATGACTAAATCCTGCTACCGTCAGCTAGCAGTCTGTTCCCCAATCAATGATCTCACACGAGACACGGCCTAAGCAGGTAAAAGCTCTAAGCTTCCCATCTCTCTCCCGGCATGTGTGGTCGTGTAGTGTCAGTGTCAGTGTATTAGTGTCAGCGTATTAGTGTCAGTGTTTCTAGGTAATGCGTAGAAGAGGACAAGGAATTGGAAGGAAAGATCGCGCGTGGTCCGTGGGCTTTTTGTTAGGGTACTGCCCCGGTATTAACCTGGAGCACACGGGGCTCTTTGTGATCCGTGAGAGGGACCGCCGAGGCAACTTCCTGTTCGTGCTCCTGAGTGCCGTCTTTGTTCAAGGACGTCCAGAAGGACGATGTGGTGTGGAAACTGTCACACTCACATGTGCAAACACTAATTTTAAGGTACATATATATTTATGACAGAACTTTTTAATTACTCTTACCATCGTCAATGACAATAATGCTTGCCAACATTACTTAAAGGATATTGCTTTACCTCTGTTACGTACATCCATTAAACCAATAATTTGGGGTAGGAAATATTATAACTGGGTTCTCTACTTCACCTTTCAGAAAATCACTAATAATAGAAGAAAAAACTATAGTGTTGACACAATTTTAAAATAATTGTGCATAGCTTTTCACATGAAATAATGTGTATAACGAAAAATTCAATTTGTATTGGATTATAACTCTTGGTGGTGGTGTTATATGTGGATTGATTGTTTTATACAGTACTTGGCTTCCCTACATATTAAGTTTCCGGAAAATTATTTAAAGGCTATGCTAATAGGTGTCAAACTGATGTATAAACATGTATTGCGTAATGTTGATCATGTTTCATTGTTTTTTGGCTAAATAAATCATGTGAATATTAAATTGTAATAATTTGTGAAGGATTATCAATTTTATTATAGTATATGTATTACAACCACAGGTGCAATCAGTATTTTTCTAGGTGTGTGAAATTTATCAATATTTGAAGAATATATTTCTAAATTTTGTAGTGAACGAGAATGGTCTGCATTAAATAAAATAACCTGGAGAATGTCGGAATTTAAAGTCACTTTAAAAAGGGGTATTAATTTGGTAAGAAAACTCATTATTGGACTCGTCCAATAAGATGAAAACCAATCAAAGAAATATACAAAAAATGCCTATGAAAATAATTTTTATTTACATTTTTAGCCATCATTTAAACATCTTGGTGTTTTTACATATAAAAAATAATTAAATTTGTATTTATTGGGATCAATAATAAAATTGGCTATTTGTATGTATTTATGAACCAATTTTAAAGTAGTTTTGAAGTAATTACTGGTGTCCCTAAGCATGTACTTTCTCTCCTTACATGTTCAATCCACCCAATCGCATTAATGATTGAGTGTATTCATCTATGTTGCATTATCATTTGTTTGCAATCAAGTTTATATCAACATATTCTATTTTATTGTGAATGATGTAATTGTTTACATATTTTACTTACCTAAATAAACATTTTAATGGTAAATTCCAATATTTTATTTCTAGGTACATGCTATGTTAGTATATTCATTTTATAAACTTGTTTTATTCCACAACAATGCAGATATTATTGATGTATACCTACCCTAATAACAATAAGACTGCAAAATTTGAAATCGTTTGATGCAAAACGTGTAATTTATTGGGAAATTAAATTATCTCAAAATGCATCATTTGTATGAAATTTTCAGTTTTTTCGTTGTATGGTCGTGTAGGTTAATATACAGATTGTTGTTGGATCAGAAATAAATAATGACTATACTATTAATAGCAAGTACTACGTATAACCCATTTCTATTGACATTCATTCCTAAATCAGTCAACAATCAGAAACTTGTTACACCAATAAAGGATGCTTAAATAAGGCAACATGGACGGCTGGATCCAGCAACCTGTATTGCTCTACGCGCCGACTCCGCAGGCCTACTCTTCTTATCAGTATCGCCCGGATACGTCATGACGGTAGGCTGAACGCTCCAACATGTGGTGCTCGCTTACACCGAGTATGTAGCTGCTCCTCCATAAAGGTTACTTGGCCTCGGCAACTCCTAGCCGTGCACTTCGAATAATCTTCTCAATTTTCAGGGGTGTGCAACAAGGTACCCTCCAGGATGCAACATTTCGTTCCAACAATCTCCGTAACGAAACAGTAAGCGTGAACCTTATTGGGCTCATATTATCATGCATTCTCTTGTTACAGTATCATGGATCAGGTACACTGCAAATGTTTGGGTTTTTTTTCGTGTATCTTTTTTCAGATCTGAAAAAAACTAAGGCAAATTAATTCTTTTTGGCAGCCAAATTAATACAAATTCGTTTGTTTATGTTATTTAAAATAAGAAAATAAATGTTATGTTCTTTATATGAAAGCAAGGCTGATTATAAATAGAATATGGAGTGCAATCCGATTGTAATTGAAAGGTAATGAATCTCCAGGAATTTGCCACTTTGTATGAACGTCAACGTTCAGCAATAATGGAGTGAGTAAACTAGGTGCTCGAATCCAGGAAAATAGAATTTGTCAAGAATATATTAACTTCACTGAGATAGAGCATGAGCAAAGCAGCGCAAGTATAAAAGTAATTACTATTTATCAT